TTGTTCCTGTATTAACTAATTAAGCACTACGCCATGAAGGCATATGAGGGAATGAATGTATAGATCCACATTTTCTTGACCTCAGCAGTAGTTGGAATGAGTAATCAGCTTCACGTCCCAACCGTTTTACCCCTGTGGAAAGAGCCCCCTGTAGCCGGTATGGACGACGTGGAGAAGATAAAATTCTTGACCCTACCAGGACTCGAACTCCGACCCTTCTGTCGTCTAGTCCATAACAAGTCGCTATAGTGATTACGCTACCCCGGCTCCCATGCGTAAGGGTGAAAATTGGAAAATTATCTGAATTAATAAGGCAAGTGCAATGCCCAAAAGAGTGCTGGACGAGGTAGAGCTCTCTGTCCAGTTTGCTTATCCTACTGTGGTTAGTTCGATTATGAAAGCATGCATTATGATAGGAACATGTCGGAGTTGCTTGCACGGCAACACAGTGTTACAGTGACATAGAATTATAAAACTTTCTTATAGAGGGCGACTTCACTTTTTCAGACTGTGAAGACTGTGGCGGTGCCTAGCAGGTGCTACAGAGTGGGGGAAGTTTATAGTGGGGTGGAGGGGAAGGCACTATTACCTTTCTGGTTCGGATGTGGAAAGAAAACTTTTGATGATACTGTAACAAGAATTTTGTTGTTAGTAGTATAGCAGGTTCAGTGGTGAGGAGAACGTCAATCAACGCGATATTGAAACAGCTAAGTGACGAAGACTGCATAATTGTACTAGTGTTTCGTATTTTCAACAAGTGAAGGTGTCAATAGTGTAGAAGGCAGTACACATACGTCTCCTGAACAAATGTGTTTCAAATTTATATTTCGGGTATGTATATACCAAGGCAAGACCAAAACATAGATGGGGCTAATACTATAACTAATCTTAGAGAACTGAGATTTAAGAGTGGAGTGTAAACAACTGAATTAAGACAGGGTTCGAAGGCGGGATGTTTTTAACATGGTAGTTGGCTGAGGCACTATGGTACAAGTCGGAAAGTCGCGGGTTCGATTCCCAATATCATTGGACTTTTCAACTGACATTTCCAGCCGAAATATAGCCTTGGGGTCAACTGAGCCTCTAAGAGACTTGAGTCCTAGGAATCTTCCTGGGGGGTAAAGGGCGGGCAGCACATAAGGCTGACAATTTCACTGCCATCTGTGAGCCGAATGTCTAGAGAATATTGGACCCTCCATGTTTCACAATCCTACTGGCCTCCACGGCCTGCAAATTATAGCTTTAGTAATTAATATTCTCCAAGTATAATTAGAGATCGCCTACAGAGCCAGAGGTCCCGGGTTAGATTCCCGGTGCTACCAGATTTTCTGACAAGTAGTGGGTCTGGAACGGATACACTCAGCCTCGCGAGGATAATTGAGGAGCTATTTCAAGGAAACAGTGGCTCCGGTAAAAAAAAAAAAACGAAATTAAAGGCCGTGGAGATTCGTTGCGCTGACCACGCGACACCCTCTATCCGCTAAAGTTGGCACTAACTTCGCCGACAAGCGGTGGTCGCTAGGCCGGTATAGTTCGCTTGCGGATTCAAGCCACGGAGTTTAGTTTTAAGTATAATTATAATGATCAAGCCAAGGAGGATGAGATGGGCAGGGTATGTAGCACTTATGGGGGAGAAGAGGAATGCACATAGGATTCTGGTGCGAAAGTCAGAAAGGAAAGACCACTAGGAAGGATTAGACGTAGGTGGGAGGATCTTAGGCAGGATGGAGGGGTATAGATTGGATTCATCCGGCTCAGGATAGGGATCAGTGGTGGGCTCTTGTGAAGACGGTAATGAACCTTCGAGTTCAATAAAACTTTGGGTAGTTCTTGGCTAGTTAAGCGTCTGGTGGCTTCTCAAGATGGATTCAACGCCATGGAGTTAGTTAATATTCTAGTTCCACGAATGCAGAGACTTCCTTGACAACTGTTAGCTTTTCAATAAAGTATCATGGAGTATATTTATATTTATACAATTTGACTGCATATTCAGCTAAATTAACGCACTGTTCAACCGTTTATATCCAATGGCACAATTAAATATTTGTCGGTATTTTTGTGCAAATCAATCATGAATTATTATTTGTGAATAAAAGATGCTCTTTATGCTTTTCACACATAGGCTATACTGTTGTTTGTATTGTCACGTATTAGGGGTTGGGGTAACTAATAACAGTAGGCCGCGCTATAGCTCAAGCAGTTAGTCATGGCTTCCCACGGCGGCAGCCCGGGTTCGATCCCGGTTCTGGTCAAGTTGAATTTGTGGTGGACAAAGTGGCGCTGGGGCAGGTTTTCTCCGAGTACTTTGGTTTGCCCTGTTAATCTTCATTCCACCAATTGCTCCACAGTCACTCTCACCTATCATCTGGGGCTGGTACAAAAGGCCTGAAATGGCCGCAGTACAAGGGACTTAGTCCCACCCCACCAGCAATAAAAAAAACTTGAAAGCGGACTTAGGGCATATTTTAAGATAATTTCTCAGTATGTATCTCCAAAGGGTTCGGGCAACCAACCCCACAGAAGCACCCTAATGTTCTTTATTCATTTATCTAACAAATCTGCAATTCTTGTGTCGATGGGGCCCATAATACAAATAACTTCCATTAGCTGAAGTCCACCTACTCCTTGAACTAGGGTTTGTCATACCTTATGCAGACAACCTTACGGAAGACATGTCCTTGTGCGTGATCCGACTTCCTACCGGCGTATGAATAGCGGAAGTATACTTGAAATAGAATATTGTCACTTTAATGGTGATGTAAGAGTCTACGTCACTAACCGACGATGACGCAACTGCATTCCCAGAGCGGATGCAGTATAACACAATGTCAAGGCATTACAATGGTATAAGGCACTAATTTAGGCTCACATATTGTCGCATGTTTGAGAGACTAGAGACAGCGTTTCGGATAATTTGATTTATTGACCACTTTAACACACCACTCGTAACTACACTTAATTATAGCACCATCTGTAATTTCTATGTTTTACAGCTCACTAGAGCACACAATCTAGCGTTCTCAGTCTCTTACTATACGTTTCCTGGTAACGGCTCCAATAATGGTTATTCCTCTGCCTCCGGGCTCAAGTCCTCTCTTCATAGACTCCGGTACAGAACTTACTTCGTCGTCCTAATTATCTTCCTTGTAACTCCTCTGCACGGACCACGTAGAAACACCCCATTTCTAACAGTACGTCTATTGTTGTGCGTCGATTCGTTGCTGCGTGAATGTGTTTACCGAGCCGATGCTCAGAAACATCTCTGGTACATTCGTCTATCTCGCGGTCGTCGCATAGAAATGGCTCTACATTTTATTATGCTGTGAGGCAGGAATATATCTGTTTCGTTAAGAACGTTCAAGAACCAAAAAGATAATATGATATGCGCCTGTCAAACCATTAATTGCGAGGAACTGTGAAAGGAGCTCCATCCCATAGCACTACTGCGGCGCTGACACGAAAATTTGTTGTTAAAATTGTTGACAGCTCCAGCGACCTTCTAGAACAATTTTTAGGAACGCTCGGAACGGATGATTTAAAAACAAGGTATTCTGGGAAAAGCTAAGGACCTATTTTCCTTTGATAAGAGACATCGACCACAAAGAAAACGACGCGTCCAAGAGTGTTTTCGTTGCCGCGGTAACATTTTTACAGAGCCTAGCAACGACACACAGACTGATGGGACGGAATTATGAAGTACCCCTTTGAGATAGGCTCAGGTAATGATATACATATTGTTTCGTACAGATTGGTAGCATAGTTGGTTCAGGCACTATGAGCCGGAAGGTCGCGGGATCGAATCCCGATTAGGTCATTGGATTTTTTTTCAATTTACCTAATCCTTCCAGCCTCACTATGGCTCTGGGGTCGACTCAGCCTCTAACAGAAATGAGAACCAGGAATAATCTTGGAATGTTCCTGGGGGTAAAGGGCGGCCGACCTGTAAGGCTGAGAACCTTACCGCCATCTATGAGCCGATTGTATAGAAAATGTGGGAACCTCAACATCTCATAACCCTATGGGCCTCCTCGGCCTCTTACAGGGATTCCATTGCTTTTTACGTTTTACTTACAGACTGATTCAAGTATTCAAAAGTTGATGGGATACACACAGAGATGACACGCTGATCGCATATGCCTACTTTTGTTTTTTCAAAATAAGGAAATTGGGCTGTTAAGTATGTTACCAGTTCTTTAGTCGTCTCTCATACGGAGTCAATAAAAATATGCAGCGATATTTCCTTTGTTGATGAAGCGCGTATTAACGAAAATCATGAAAACTGAGATTTCCGCGGGAGTAGAAGTTGAGACTGTGGCTTAGCGACTCCAAGCGCGAGGAGGGGTGCAGCATGTTGAATACACGGTTATAGTACCCACAACACCAAAATCTAAACTGACAATTGTTGGGCATTTATTTCTTAGCGGATTTCTGCCGAGTAACTGGAAACGGTTTTAGTACAATAAACAGTACAGTTGAAAATCGCCTCTGTCAGCCATTTTAATTTTGGACACGCCCTAATGAAACTCCTTTAAACTATAGAGAACAAACATTACAAAATGTGAAGAAATCAGTCTTCTGAGATTTGGCACCGTGTATCTGTGGTGTTAACCGACGTTTCGGAGGAACGTATCGCCTCCATCTTCAGGGTAGAAGAAAAAATATATATGCAAAGAGCAGTCTGCTTTTACCGGTTCTCACGGTCTCTTTGCTTGCAGCTTTCTTATATATTTTTTCTTCTACCCTGAAGATGGAGGCGATACGTTCCTCCGAAACGTCGGTTAACACCACAGATACACGGTACCAAATCCCAGAAGACTGCTTTCTTCATAGTCACCGCCGTGAAAGCCTCAAACCTTACATTAAAATTTTTGGTTAATATATAGGTCTACTTATGCTACACGTACACTCGTACCCCCCCTACACACATCCACGACTACAAGATGTTTTATTAGACTGCATTCTTCATTTGTTATCCATTCTGCTTTCAGGACTGACGAGAGAGACATCTTCAGGCGACATGGAGAGGATGAAATATTTCGTTACAATATGTCTACTAGGATTATTGCTACTTGAAGTGAGTCACAAAGAAATGGAATTAACATTATAATTACGTTCGATTAAATCATTCAAACCTTCTGAAGACACCTGTTTTCTGGGATGTATCGTCATGTAGTTCGCTGAAAATCAACCAAAGTTTCGGATGAACATGTCACCTCTGTCATCAGGGTCAAGTATGAAGTGGTAAAACTCAGAGCTATATAACCCAGAAGATAGAATTTTTCATAGCTCTGCTTTTTACTTGGTTCATGCTGGCTTTTGTTTGGATTATTCATCGACTCTGAAGATGGAGGCGATATGTTCCGCCAAAACGTAGGTTGACTATCAACGGACTATACAGCGTTACAACTCAGAGAATAGGGCTCTTCTTGACCACATCTGTAAGATCCTCAGCTCTTTGAAAGTTTCTGTTTGGAACCCTGGTTACTCCCATCCCTGTGGGCTATAGTCAGTAAATTTGAAATATAATTAAACAGTTGTCTGTTATCTGTTATCTGTTCCTAGGTTCGAATAGGCTATGATTCAGTGACCGCTGAATCAGCTGTATGTTTTCCGTGGAAAGGTGATCTTGTCTATCCCACACTGTAGGGTACAAAGAGGTATCCTGATTATTATAAGCACGTCTAAAGATACTTTTTACAATATTGTAGCATGTAGACCCGTTGCTAGGTAATGACTTTATGAACAACGCCCGCTGCTAGGCAACAGGTCCCTAACAAACAACAATTGAACAGCAACAGAAGAACGGTGTTTTCTGTGCTGTCCATGCCGAGATGTTATAAGTAGGATAATTAATGAAAATTAGTGAGTGAAGTGAAATAGATGGTTGGTGAGTGAGTGATTTAGAGAATTGCTGAGGTTCAGCCCTTGTGAGCCATTGTTGTTAGAAGCTTGTACCTGAGTCACGGGGATCAGTGATTAAGATTAGCTCTTTCTAGTGGGCCCAACTGAGTAGGTGTCTTCCTTTCTCACCTGAAGACGAAAACAGATCCAGTTTCCGAAACATCGTATCCTCTATTGCCTAGAATTCAGGACGATGGAAAAAAAAATAAAAAAAAACCCAGTAATTCTGTGTGTCATCCACCATCGTCAGAACCCTTTAGAATCTACAAACATTAGTAACTAAGCGCATATTTTGGGTCTGACTTCTCTTCCAAAAGCGAACAAAATCATCTGAAATCCCTTCTGAACAAAAACGAAACGTGAGAATGAAAATGGAAGAAGAAACAAACAAAACGTTAACCAGTCAGTTCGCTTTATTCCTTGGTCTGGTTTGTACGTTGCATAAAAATTATGTTAATTTCTGACAATTTTGTTTGAAATATTTTGTAGCATAATAGGGTCCCCCAATGCTCGAAAGAAAATGTTTCCGATGTTATATGTTTCGTTCGGGATAATAAAATTTGTGATCTCCATGTTGTTGGTAGTTCAGATCGTAACTCCCAGTAATAATTTTGCGCTTATGATAAATAGAGATTTGATCAAGAAATCTTGCTTTAAGAACTCTTTTTAGGAGAATGTTAGGGCAGACTACCTGTATCGTCAAATTTATCTCCTTCCAATCTATTTTAGGCTTATCCTGCCAGCCCCGTTTTTCATTTGTTCGGTTTCCAAGATATGTTCCTAAAAAATTCTTTCAGCTTTCTGTCTACTCATTTAGTTATTCATCTGGAGTCATTTAACAATACTATTTTACATTTATTTTATGTAGCCTGAAACTGAATACGAAGTTGATCATGAATCATGGGTAGGTAGAATTTTCGGACCCCAAGGAACGTTCCCCTCACTCATTTTCAAAGACTACTCGAAAATTTGTGACGTTATGTTAGAGTACTGTTGTGAACTGTTTCGTCTATTATCCTTGGGTAACCTGGTAGGCTACTGAAGAATCTTACGGCCAGTAGAAGGAAATATGGACGTGTGTTTAGCATTTACTGGACATCAAGCAAATAAATATTAAGAGTACAATAAGTAATACTGTATTTATTATTTAATAAATTATGTAAATTTTATGATAGCAGAAGGAAAGGAGAAACATTGCGAAATGAAAGGGAAATGCTTGCATTCAGTTCATGATATGTTCGTCTTCTCGTTCTTATGAACACGTGAGAATTAAAATATATAAAATCACAATTTTGTGTATATTTTCTAAGGCGTGAAACTTATTCTCTTGCATTAAGGGAAGAATATAAGCTGGAGGTATATGAAACAAGAGAGAGCCGAGGAAGACATTTGTACCTAAGAGAAATTAAGTAATAGGAGCCTAAATATATTACATAATGAGGAGCTTCATAATTTTTGCTCATCCCCAAACAATGGCTGACCCACGGAGGTTGGGATAGCCGGCATGTAGCATGCATGGCAAAGAAGATGAAAGCATAAACAGTTTTTATATGGAAACTTGGAAGAATGAGACCATTTGGAAGACCTAGCTGTAGATGGATAAATAACATTAGGAACGAATCTTCAATAAATAGGATGGAAAGATGCGGATTTATTTGACTCAAGATATGAAGCAGTGAAGGGCCCTTGGAAACTGGTAAAAGACCCTCCAGGTTTCAATGAAGTGTGGGCAAATTCTTGACTACCTGATCGACTATTAGCTTCTCAAGAATGATGCTGTTTCATGGAGTTGATTATATAAATCTTTTGAAAATTATAATCAGCTTAAATGGGAGTCGGGAGCGCTCAGTCGTTACAGGGACGTGCCGTATGCTGGACGGTCTTGGTTCGATTCTTTGCAGTGTAAAATTTTTCTCTCCTCCACAAGGTCTAGATAGGCTATGGGGCCCACCAAGCCTCCTACCCAATGGGTAACGGAGACTCCTTCCCCGGCGGCAAGCGGCAGGTGCGTGAAGCTGGCCAATCACCATCTAATGCCGAGGTCAAGAATGGAGTTATATCTCCACTCCCCCATACGTCTTCATGGCATACACCTAATTAATTAAGGACAGGGACAACTTTTTAATCAGTTTGAATAGCAACCTCTGCCGGAGCGTTATCTCTTCACCAGCGAGCTCACTAGATTTACTTACTTACTTATGGAGCTGAGGCCTTCTGGAGGAGCCGCCAATTCTGCAGCTACTCAAGAATTTCCCAGCATTTTATGGGACCCGAAGGTTCATCACCGTGTTCACAAGAGCCTTCCACTGGTCTCTATCCTGAGCCAAATCTATCCAATCCATACCATCCCATCCTATCTCTCTAAGATCAATTGTAATATTGTCCACCCACCTACGCCTTGGTCTTCCCTGTGGTCTCTTTCCTTCTGGCTTTCCCACCAATATCCTATACGCATTCCCCATCTCCCCCATTCGTGCTACATGCCCTAGACATCTCATCCTCCTTGACTTGATCATTCTAATTATTCACTAGAATTACTGTGAACTAAATTAATATGCGAGTAGTGATTAAAGTAGATTAATGATCAATGAAAGGATAGAAATATGTGTTTAATTATATGCAGACATTAGAAAGCTAAGAAGAAATGCTGCTGCGTTTTTGTGAAACACGCTTTCAAATGCAGTTGGGAAGATCGTCATGTGATGGAGGTGTGACAGAGCACTCATACCAGGGGCAGCGAGGAATGGCGCTCGCCTGTTAACTAGACACACGGCTAAGCAGAACATGTATGCCATTGTTACGCGTGTAGCGGTGCGTGCCGGGGCATTGTCGCATTCTCTCATCACACAATGCGGGGGAAAATGGAACACGTCCATTGTTCCCACGTGACAATCAGAGTGTTGTGGGAATGTTCGTGACAAACTGACGTCGGTCGTTCGGTCGGTCGGTCAGTCGGTACAGGTTTGGGTTGCGTTTTAGATTGTGAGTATTTGTGAACAAAACAGAGGTAAAACTGTCTCTGTGCTTAATTAATTAAGCAGCATGAAGATGAATGGGGGAGTGCAGATATAAATAAATTTCGGCACTAGATAAAAGTGAGCCATAAGCTTCACGTCTCTGCGGCTTTACCCACGAGGAAAGAGCTTCCGTTACCCTTGTATAGGAGGCCGGTTAGGCCCCGCAGCTGGACTCAACTCTTGAAGAAGCGAGAAATCTCTTGCCCCTGCCGGAAATCAATCCACGATTCATCGATTGTCCAGCTCATAGCCAGTCGCTGTACCGAATGAATTGTCCCGGTTTTCTTGTGAATAAAATGCTAGGGAGAATATATTTTGTACCTAAGGGAATGGGGCAATAGGAGGCTGGAGGAAAATATACAAAAATTAACTTCTCACTTAATAATGATACGGCGATTAAATCAAGAAAGTTATGCGGAAAATGTAACATGCATCCGGAAATGAAAAAATGAATGTAAAATTTTGGAAACCTCAAGGGATGACACAACAAATCTATGAGTAGCCATGTAATGAGATTGAATGACCGCTTTTTTTGTAAACTGGTTTTGCATCTTCGTGTTTATTTCAGAATTACTTGGTTTTTGGACTTTTTCCATCGTTCGATATTCTAGAGACTAGAAAACACGACGTTTCGGAAACTGGAACTATTTCCATCCTAAGCTGAAGGAAGGGGAAGACACATTCAGTTGGATCCCTTAGTGAAAGCTAACTTCCTTCAGCTCTCACTACGAGGGTGCGCAAACAGAAGAGTATGTCAGTTGTATCCGTTTTCGGTTATTATTAATTAAAGGTTCAAAGTTTTTAAAAACCAAGGCTCATCACTGCACACAATACTGACCAACTTCTGACTACGACAAATTCTCAGAACTGATTTCAGTTTACCCTCACACAGATTAATTAGCCTTCCAAGAAATCTCTGCTTCTGCATACGTGGATTAAGTCATAGCCTATTCAAACTTCTTAGAGAATTTTTTTTTCGGGAGCTTTGTAACATTCTACCCCTCGGTTTATAGGTAATTATTGTTTCTGATAGTTTATCCTGCCCCATCCTTACCACATGATCTCTCCCTTTTCTTCTAATCTCGTTTAATTTATCGTTTACGGAATGTACATATCTGCAATTTATTACTTTTGTTCTTGTTTCTGCCTTCCCTGG